GGGGGGGGGGGGGAGATGAGATAATGATGATAGAACTCTCATTTAAAAATGAGGGAGGAGCGAAAGGAGTGCCTGTAGAAGGTGATGGGTCAAGCCAACTTTAGTTTATGTGCTTTTGGATGAGAGAGACATGCAACTTAAACGTGACAGGGAAGGATCCAGCAGAAGGTGATAAAATATGGGAGCAAAAGGGGCTAATTGTGGAGAGGAAGAGACTAGAGAAGGTGAAGTTGAGAGGCAAGGGGAATGACTCGGCCTTAGATAGGAGGGAGGCCACCTGTTCCTGACAGGATTAATGGGTTGGGTGCTCTTAGGGGTGTAGATTTGCTTTCAAGAAGTTGAGAAAATTCCTAACTGAAGAGAAAAGCACAACTATTTTCTCCACGAACTAGGCGGCCAGGTCACCTACTGCAATGCAAGATACGAGAAGGTTATGTGTGTGCTGGGAGGAGACGTTTGAGATTGGAAGATGTATTAGTTTTTTAAGGTTGTGTAATAAATTGCCCCAAAGTGTAGCAGCCTAAAACAAGACGATTATTTCACAGTTTCTGTGGGTCAGAAATGTGGATGTCACTTGGCTGGGTTTTCAAGGTCTTTCCCAAGGTTCCAGTCAAGATGTGTCAGCTGGGCCCTGCTGGTGGTTGAGATTCCCTGGCTGGAATTGTGGGCTCAGTCCCCAGTAGGGGGCGTGCAAGAGGCAGCGGATAGATGTTTCTATCTCTCTAGCTCTCTCCCTCTCTAAAAAATAAATAAAAACATTAAAAAATAAATAAATTTTTAGAAAAGATGTCAGCTGGGACGGCTGTCATCTGAAGGCTCAGCTGGGGAAGACCTGCTTTCAAGGCCACTTAAGTGATTGCTGACAAAATTCATTTCCTGTTGGGCTGAGGGCTTCAGGTTTCAGTGCAAGCTCTCCCTCCACATGGGGTTCACCATAGGGACTGACAGCTAGATTCCATCAGAAAGAGCAAGAGAGAATGAGCAAGACGGCAGTAAAGATCTTTTTGCAATGTGGTCTCAGAAGTGGCATTCCATCACGTTTGCTGAGTCCTATTTGTTAGAAGCAAGTCACCAGGTGTAGCCCATAGTCAGTGGCACAAATACGAGGAGATGTGATCATTGGGAGCAATCTTAGGAGCTGCCTACCACAAAACAGAATGGAAAAGATTTGAAATAGTAATATCGCAGTAGCATCGACAGGATCAATAAAAGTTGGTAACCGAGGATTTGTATGATAGCAGTCTGCCAGACGTTGTGATTTCCTCCAGAGGCGTTCAATAATCAGGTACCTCCAAGGACAGGTGACCTAAGAATGAAGTTAGTGTTCAAACACAGTTCTCTGTGGTGCAGATCTTTTAAAAAATTAAATTTATTGGGGTGACATTGGTTAATAAGATTATCTAGGTTGTAAGTGTAAAATTC